GCCACAGCGACAGAAATAAAATTGTCCCTGTATCCAACCATCATACTGCTACTTGTAACCCGTGGACAGACCCCATTGTCATTCTTCTGTTTTACTGTGCTTCAGAAGCTTTTTCGGACCTCGATGCTCTTCCACTTCATCAATGTGCTGCTGCAGGTCCTTCTTAACAAAAGCCACGACCTTCTTCAGGAGGAAATCACCCTTGCTATTTACAACATGGCCTCTGTCGACTTCGATGCCTTCTACTCGGCCTTCATGCCAGAGTTTCTCAGTAATTGCCAGGGTGTCGACACCAGCCAGCGAGCTGTTCTTGCACGCAACTTCAAGCTTGAACGGGTAAGAGAGAAATTTTGTGAGATATTGTCTGCCTAATGGGTGGCTATGTCAATGACTGTTGGCACAGAGATCACATAAGAGACAGAATTAATTGTTACATGATTTGTAAGAAAGATTTGATTTGTCCACAGCCTGGCACATAGAAATAGAACATAACTTGACTACAGTAGCACTTAAATGTTTGGCCTCATTAAATGTTATTATAAATTTGTCACAATCTGTTTTTTTCTCATCAGTAGTCTGACAAACATGACAATCTGGCACTTGAATATTTTATCGAGGAGCTGTGTTTTCGGGTTGTCTGTCCGCCACTGTGACCTCTCATCTGTCCCATTCTTGTGAATACAATATTGAAAATAATTCACTAGAATTGTACTGTACGTGTGGATATAGCGATAACTTCCATTTTGCCAAAAATACACTTTATATTTTTTATATATTTCTTCAAAGACATGGGTGTAAATTGCACCTTGATTGGTCAAGGCCATGCAACTGCAAGGTGGTAATTCTAGTTAAAGAATGTAACACTTTCAGGATCACCTCTAGTACCAAGACATGTTCCTACTCGCCTCTTCTCTTGAATGCTGCTTTATTCTCCACTGCATTTTAAACACTCAACTCCTGTCTCTTCTGTAAACTGATATTGCTATTTAATTTTTCTCTTCTCTCTCAAGGACCTGCCTTCGTTCACTCAAAGCGTGCAGCGGCTGGTGAACGACCTTCGCTACTACAGACTGTGTAATAGTAGCCTGCCCACTGGCACCATCAAGCTATAGCACAACGGCTGCTTGAACCTCTCCACACATTAAGTATGATCTTCAGAGACAGCCTGTGCTGCACCTATTTAAAGTAATAGGAAGGAACAACACACGTGACATAGTTGAGCCAGTGGAGGCTGAGGATGCTGCTGTTTTTTCTTTTTTTTTTGTTTATTAACTTACTGTAGAGGGTTGGCGCATCATTTTTTAAAAGGCAGTGCCCTCATGTGTTGCCAATGAAAATTTGACAAGAATTGTAAACCTGGTCTGCAGTTGGCTTTTGCCCAGACCTGGAGCAGTCTGAGCCAGGCCTTCTTTCCCGTGTCTCTGCAACAAAGCTGGGCTGGGACTGAGCACTTTTAACTCATTTTGAGTTTTTTTAAATGTCTGCTTTTATTCATTTTGCCTTCAAATTGTTTTCATCTCCAAAGGAGACAGACTCTCAACTTAAGATCTTTCATATCATTCCATTCTGAAAGAGAAAAAACCTGCTTGAATAAATAAAGTGCTTTTTTAGTAAAACTCAGGTACTGAATAATTCATTCATGCTTTTATTGACCTGTGTGCTCTACTCTCTGTGTTGTTAGTGTTATTTTTATGAATAATGGTTGCGTTATGAGATTCCTCTGAACTTTCTGTATGTTTACACTGTTTTGCTTTTCCACTTGTAAATGGCATCTTTTAAAATTTCTTTCAACTGCAATTCATCTTTCAAATTTCTTGTCAGCATTTCATTTCTGGAACAGGTACACAAATTATGATATCTGAAGTTGGTTTGGGCTTTTACAGAGCAGATGAAGAAGGCAGAGCAGATTTTAAATCACTGAAGCCCTTGACAGACATGAAGCATCAACAGAGGTCTTCATCCATAGCATGTGACACATCACACAGGGTCACATATGGTCTTATGTGAGGACATGTATGAAAGACGGGAAGCATTAATTAAATGGCCACTTTAGATTGGATGGTAATAAAGTGAAGTCACTCCAGGAACTCACACAACATACAGCATCATCCCTGAAAGCTGAACTTTGTCTGTTCAGGGCTTCAGATGTAAAGATTTTATAACATCTCCAAAGCATTTCTCGGCTGATTAATACCAAAGACAAATGTGTATTTAAAAAGATTGGCCTCTAAGAATCGAATTTTCACTTCGTCTCTTGCAACGTTTAGCCTAAAGGTTTAGATATTCCTCAAAACTTGAATAATTTTCTCAGTGCAGTGATTGTAGGAACTGGATTTCAGATTCCTAAGTTCACAGTTGCCAGTGCGCTGTTTGATATTCACTGAGAAGAATATTATTTAGGTGAGGGTAGAAGCGAATTCGTACAACAATTGGAGACATAATTTGTATTTATCGTGAGATCCTGCGACGGAGTCGGACAAGCGTGCGATTAAAGCAATGAATTCTTCGCACAAAGAGTTAAATATGTGAGTTGAGTAATGATCAAGTGGGACAGGCAGGGATGACTAGAGTTTGATTGAAGAGGGTTGGCTTTGTCTAGACGATAACAGAACTACCTTCAAACCACAGTCATGTTGCTGCGCTGCATTGTAAAAAGAGTTGTCCAACAGTTTTATTCAGGAAAGCAAGGAACAACTACATGTCTGGTTTCAGGGTTTCCCCTCAGTGCACTACTGGATGGACACAGAGTTACTGGACACCGGAGCAAATCAAGTAAGTGACTGGAGTTAGTTAGGTCATCAGTTTTGCTTTCATACATCTCTCCCAGTGTTTCAGATGTTCCCATTAAGGACCTGATGTTAAATTCAGAAATTAGATTAAGAAATCTGTTTTGTCGTGTCGTGTTACGCAAATGCCTTTTTAAATTTGAATAAGAGCTTAAATAAAGTCAGAATCTTAGAGAATTCATTTTCGAGACCATGGTTATTTGTTCCAAATTTAACAGGCCCATTTGCAAGAATAAATTTATTTGCCCAAACTCTTGGGGTCATGAAATGGAACTAGGTTACAGGTACAGAAGATAGTGATGTGGGTAGCAACAATGTTTGAGAAAGGGTGACCCTTGGGGTGCATAATGGGTCCAAAACCTATGTGCGTTCTGCGTAACGGACAAGACACGATCCAACAACAACAGGTGAAACTTTCTCACTGAAACTTCCATCTCGTTAAGTCACTGCACTTTATTTGTACAGGTAGTCATGCATTTAAATGTCAGTAGAATTTCTCTAGCGTCAGGTCGCATGTGTATGTAATTGATCGCATGCAGTCAATCATTAGCTCGTGTGTGGTGTTCCAGCTGTGCCAGCACAGCTCCTAGTAACCACACAAATGCATATAATATCTAGTGTGTCTATTCTGTTCATGTCTGTTTTACATGAAGACGTACGAGTAGCCTATTGAGGTCTACTGTTGGTGAATATGGGTCATTGTTCACCTCTGTATAACACCTGCTGCTGTTCTGCTCTGTACCACCAGCTCATCCAGATGTAAGCGAGAGGACTCTTATAGCTGTAAAACCAGATGGAGTTCAACGTCGTCTTGTAGGACAAATAATTCAGCGGTTTGAGCAGCGGGGCTTTAAACTGGTTGGCCTGAAAATGTTGCAGGTATAGAGGTTGGAAATGAAACATGAATATGAGCATATGTTTGACAATGTATTATACAACTCATTTTAACTGTGGATGTCTCTGTTGTGAAGGTGTCTGAGGATCTCCTGTCTCAGCACTACTGTCAGCTGAGGATGAAGCCCTTCTACCCAAGTCTGCAGCAATACATGACCTCAGGGCCTGTGGTTGCCATGGTGAGGGCTCCTTTTCCTGCCTCCTTGTTGGAAAGTCCTGTATTTTATATAAGTTGTACTTTTTATTTTTTTTTATCTTTGCATTAAGATAACAGACATGAAAGCTATGAGAAAATGTCTGCTAGAAAATAATTCATACATGGTAGTGAGTCTATCAGGTGTAAACCCACTACATATTTCTGCAAGTCTTGTTTTTATGTGTGCATATGCTTTATTTATTTGTGTTTTAGGTGTGGGAAGGGCACAATGTAGTGCAGACATCACGTATGATGGTGGGGCACACTAACCCAGTTGAGGCCCAGACAGGCACAGTCAGAGGAGATTTTGGCATTCATGTCAGCAGGTAACAAGTGTCATTTGAGCTTATTGTAGAGTAAATTTCAGGATTAAACAGCTGCCATACAGGGCTGCTGCTTTCCAGGTATTGCAGTATAAGAAACTAGTGTGTGTGTGTGTGTGTGTGCGCGCGCATTTGGAAGTAAAACTATTATGTGTGTTGATCATTTGAAGGAATGTGGTCCATGCCAGTGATTCACTGGAGGGGGCTAAGAGGGAGATCCAGCTGTGGTTTCAGGGAAAAGAGCTGCTGAACTGGGACTGTTGTGACCAGACCATCACCTGTGAGATGTGAAGATGCAGTGAGAACATGTAATAGGCTACGACTCTTGCTGTTCTCCTGCTGCTGATGATTGGAAAAAGATGTCATATACAGTATTTTTACCTAATAATTATCCCTAGCAAGTGCAATCACAAAGATTTATGTTGAAACAAATATGGATTTACAGTTAGGTTACAACAGCAACTGCACTAACATAGTTATTACATATTTCAGAGGAAAGGTTTGCTTTTTCTTTCAGGATACATGTAGTAATCATTTGTCATTCTGGCTCTTACAATGGATAGATTTATTATTTTATCAATATTTGTGAAGCGTTGAGCTGCAGTGTGTTTAATCTGAACATGGATGACAGATGCCAATCAGGTTGGTGGCTCAGTACCTGATTTTGTAGAATATTTTAATTGCATGTGACTCAGAGCAGGTGTAACATTGGAATGTATCCCACAAAAAGAATCTTTCTGACATTCTAGCTTTTGTTCCATAATCATGGTAAACGGTAATCTAAATAGCATGTGGTCTAGATAGTTTACCATGCAGTAAAGCTATAGTCAAATCTAATCTGATTTCAAGTTGTTCATATTGTTAAAATGTAAGAAATCACATGCTTCAGTTGCACTGTTGGCCCAGCTCCAGCAGCCTATTAGATTCACATACATTTGCATAACGTTTTTCATTACACATAAAAAAAAAAACATGCTTTAAGTGTAATTATTCTACTGAAATCATTACTTAATGTTCCTACCTCTGTTTAAATCCACTGTGAAGCAGAAGAAATTAAATAAACGGATGAACAGTTTAAAGGAAAAGTGTAAAACTTTGCCAGGAATTGTCTGAAATGTAGCTGTCATATAATCACTGTTTAGACTCTGGTGAATGTTATTTGTAGAGATGTATTGCAGTAATTCGTTCTTGTGCACTGCACAGCTCTGTGTATTGATGATTTACCTATACCTCTTATCATTAAACACAGGAGTATAACACCTATAAATTATTGAATTCATCTCAAATTCATCACAATTTTTTTGAAATTTTGTTTTAATAACTTTTATAAGACTTTCAGTTTATAAAAAGTACAATTCATAGCTATAATACAAAAATATACATTTTATTTTTAAATCAAGCCAGTACATAGAAATTACCATGAAAAATGTAAAATCAAAGTACATTTTAATCTCTTAGAAAGAGGCGGGACTGAACGTGTATATTTATGAAATCAGTTTAATGCTTAATTATTGGTCAGCAGACAATTCTGTACAATTATAAATATTTTAACAGAATGTGCATTTTATTTTATAGCTCTGAAAGTAGCTTCAGTCCATAGTCGTAGTACTTGCATCACAACAGTAATCCTTGAGGCCAGTCTTTGTATGATTAAGTTAATCTCATTGTATTTGTGTTATTAATATTGGCCAAACAAAGAATAATAGAAATATTAAAACAGAAAAAATATATATATAAACAAATGAAAGGAATAACTTCACAAAACTCTGGCGGTGATTTGTAGTTGAAAGACCTTTTGTCAGCACAGAAGAGATGAAGCAACATGTATAATTAAAAAATAGAAATCATCTGCAGCACCTTTCTATGCACCCAGCAATATGACATGTATGGTGGTTGATCTTTGATGTGCCATCAGTATTAGTGGATGTGAGAGCTCAGTCATGATGTGTCATTCTCTGATTGCAGGTCAATCTTCTGCTGTTGTTTCTGCATCACAATCTCTAGTTCTGTGACTTTCGTGAGTCCTGAGGGCGACAGACGATACAATGCGATTCAACAGAGATTTTTTTTTTCTTTCAGAGGAAGCAGACATACTGTGTGCACATTAGCATACATACAATTTTAGACTTTGGTGATAATTTTAACTGTCTGTGAAGTGAAGGGCAGTTTAAAATATCCCTAAGGATACCCTACATATTAAATTCTTTAATATCAGACCAACAACAGGAATGTGCTCTAGTAATTAATACTTATCTGCCCATAGCTACCATTTACATATAAAGTATTAAGGCGCTAATGTGCATTTTGGGTTTTGCAAATTAAAAAGTAAATAGTCTTTCATCAATATAGTTCATTGTGCTAAAATGGCATAAGTCTGTGCATAAGCCAAGGCTGAGCAAACAGCTAGTTCAGGACACATGGACACAGTCATAACCACACACACACACACACACACACACACACACAGTACATGCAGAATAACCCTGGACCAACCTCGACAAGGGCCTTCTGAACCATTAACTGGCCGTAAACCCGTGTACCGTCTTCTGGTGACACGGTGCGGAGATCCTCCTTTTTCAAGGAAAATAGTTGTGCTCCAGTTAAAACACCCAGATTCTCAATTGTCCTAACAGAAGAGAAAGGAGCAACCAAATGAGTGCTGATCACCAAAAACCTGAAGATAAGTATTTTTGTTAAAAGATAAATCCAGTTCTTGAAACTAGAATAATCCAAAACAAATCTAAATTGTCTCTTTTTGTAACAATTCACTTGTTAATCTTCTTGTTACACTTCACAGAACTCAAGTTTTATAAATGTCCTAACAGCTCACTGTTTATGTTCAATTGTAACTTAACTCAGTTACCAATAAAGCTGCAAAATATAAACTTTGGCAGAGAGGGTGTTTAGACAATAGGGGGTGCTATTGTGCATATGTTCAGTCCACCAAGTCCAATAAGCGCCTCCACTGAACCAATCTACTACTTATTTTAAATGTCCTGGAACTTTTCAAATGCATTTGATTTGGTTCATTTTGGTTGGAAATGTTGGACATGCTATTCCTAAAAACGAAACTAGAGTGTCATGAGAACAAGACGTGGCTATAAATGAATCAATAGGTTCTACAAACCAGCCTTGTTGTGATTTAGGTTTGTAGAAACAGTCTGAACTGGAGTTCTCTCCAGCAGCGGATACTCACTGCTGACTGAAGCCCTTGACAGTGAGCCAGGCCTTCACTTCAGCGGGTGACGAGCGATAGTCCAGGGGTGCAGAAGTGTCAGTTGTGCGAGGGATCACCAGGCGGTTGCCTGAGCCTCTTTTCCCAGCTAGCCGCTCAAGAAGCTCGTCATTTATTATCAGCACTGCACAAACACAGAAAAGTTCATTTCTATGCACATGCACAGTGTCGTATACAGCAGAGCATCACATTTCTCTACTTCCAGATTTATGCTAAATTTCCCAGGTTGTGATATTTACAGAAAGTGTTTTAGGTAGACCACATAGTCAGAGGTCTGTTTAATGTAGGATGAAGATGTTCAACCATCTGACTGCACCAATGCTTTTCTAATCTTCGCTTCTACAAATATTAATGATAACAAAATGATCAATTCATGGCATGAACTCTGTCCTATCCTACAAACTGATATTTAGAAAGCTACAGATTGGTGTTCCATTATTTTAGTTGAGCACAGAGATACTGTTTCCCTGTTTTGTTTTTTTTGTTAGTTCGTTTGTTTGGGAGCTTTTTGGGGGGAGTTCGTTGCAATATGAATGGTGAATAAATTTCATAATAATTTAACCAGATCTGTACAGTAACAATAAAAAAGAGCTAATTCAATTTATTTGGTCATTCTAACCAAAAGATTATGTTGTCATCTTATTTCAATGCAAAAAAAAAAAGTTAAAAGGGGTATCTTAAAATAGCTACAGTATTTTTCAACTGGAGACGGGAGCGTAGGGCCTTACATGCTCTCAACACATTCTGAACCAAGCCCTCTGGAATACTTACAGTTCAGTGGATATTTGTACACCAAAGTACAATAGAGTGTTCTTTAAATTCTGTTTTTGTCTACTGGGCTTCATTTATTCATTTATTCATTTATGTTTGTTTTGCTCAGCTTTTGCTAATCGGCCATGTTTGTTTGTTATAGATTTGTATTTGACAAAATATACTGCCACACTAACAAGCCGTCACAAGATTCACCATGAGTGATATTTAATATGTATGGCTATGTTACTGTACCTTGGTCTTCATCCTCTGACATTGTCGGAGATCGTAAAGCCATGCTCTGTGATCGCGCTGCTGGGCTTGTAGCAGTAGGACTGGTCCCAACTGGGCTTTGGGGAAGATATGAGAAGGACTTTGTCTGAGGGGAAATGGGTGTCCTCTGTTATGAAAAAAACAGGAATTATTAAAAATTGCAGGATGCATGGGACAAAAAGCTACAGGATTTGAGCCACCGACACAAACAAGAGCTAAACTCTGTGTACTCGTACCTTTGACTCATTGCGTACCACTGGGATATCTCTCCCACTGTTATTCAGAGCAGACAGCGGCTCCAGGATATTAAAGGGAAGAAATCCTATCTGGTCAAAGCGATTCCGACACTTCCACCATCTCCTTGATGATTCAATTACCTAAGGAAAGATTGCTTACAAATGAGCTTTGTGATATAATCCAACTTGTACAGGTGTGTCACCAGCTATAATTTTAATGATGGGTGGCTACCTCTAGTGTTTCTCCATGTAGCACAGAGAGTTCACTGCTGTTTCTAGCCACAAAGTCATAACTGCAAACGTAAAGCATCGCACCATCTGGTGGAACCCCATTTCCATCTCTAGAACAGAAGTATCGGTTAAAACACATGAAACATGGAAAAATGAAACCAGTTTCATTAAGTAAAGTCAGATATCTGCAATTTTAAACTGATGACAGGCATGGAAATTAGTTATTCTCAACCTAATCGAATCCCAACTAATGATGAGGCGATATACTGTTCACTGCAGCCATGAAGAATTTGACTGTCACTGCCGCTACTGCGATAAAAACATAACTATGCCTTGTTCTTTTTCTTATTGTCTACAGACTTACACTCCATCAGTGCCTTTACCAAAGCTCTCTGTTCTCTGTTGAGTTTGTGCTGCCCTAGACTCCCTGACAGCATCCTGTTTGTGCTGAGACTCAACAGGATCTTCCAAAGGCTGGCCAGCAGAGTCATAGGCCTGAGGCTGCCATCCATCCAGGAAGACAGGTGAGTATGGAGGGACAGACACACTGAGGCGTGAACTGGCAAAAGAGGAAAGGAAGATAATTTTAGATTAGCATGGCATACCCTCAAACCAAGGTTTACACACATACTGTGTACATGAATACACAGACCGGGGTGAAGTCCAGTTGGGTCCTAATGAAGTCCAGAGTTCCTTTTCCTGTTCAGTCAGATGTTTTAGCAGAAAGGAAACTGCACCGCTGGTGATGGAGGGACTAACCACAGATGCACCAAGCGCTGGCCCTCCAGTGGTTCTCACCAGCTGTGAAAGAGAGGATGGTTACAGTCAGTATCACAGAGACAGAGAAACTATTAAATGAAACGTTTGAAAGACTCACTAGTCTAAGAGGCACAAAGACGTGATGCAGCAGCTCCGGTGCGTCTGGCTGTGAGATGGATGACTTGAGACGGTCCTAAATAAACCAGTAAACAGGGTTGTTTACATCTTAATTTACAGACATTTCCATTGTTATTCAGTGCTTAATTAAGACTAGTCTAATCTTACCAGCAGACTGAGGGAATACTTGATTTTCTGAAAGAGGTCCACAAATTCCTGCTCTGATGGAGGGCAAGCTTTCACAGACAACAGATCATCTGCACACAGAAAAGTACAATCACAGCCCAAACAACTCAACAGGGTACATATGAAGCATAGACACATAATTAGTACACAACACTCACTGTTCAACAAAAACTTGTCTTAATGTGGAGAGGTGCTGTGAAAGTCTCACTGAACTTAGTGAACAGCACTGGCAGCAGTGCAGATATGAGCTCTAAAAGGTTTTGAGCAGGACTGACCTCTCTGTCAGAGATTTTCAATTATTAGTCAGAGATTTTCCATTATTTCTGCTTGAGCAGTAGGTTTTGTTGCATTCTCATTTATTGCAATTTCATAACAACAAATATCTGAAGAGCTGGGCAGAGCATGGCGGAGTGTAGTAGAGCATAGTGGAGCAGGGAGAGGGAGTGCTGGGCCGAGCATAGTGGACTGATTTAGAGTATCACGCTAGTGCTACCTTAAGTTACATACTGTAGCTTTAAGTAGCATGTTTTAACACTTTATGTTTGGGAAAATAAAAGAAATAGCAGAAAGGAATGGTGAAACACCACAGCTAATTAAAGTCTTCCAGGTGTGGGCTGCTCTTTCTAGCAAGTACTACAAAACAAAGCCAGTTGCAATGACAATCTTATGTTCTATTTTATTGTTAATATGTTCGTACAGATAGAGTCATTGCTTTTAGCCTTATCTAGGGTCACACCTTTCTCAGCATACACTGGTCACAAACCTGTGAATCACCCAGGTCATGTTGCCAAGCCAACAAAGGGTAGAGCACAGATAGACACAAACTCCCATTCATACCTACTGGCAACACCTAATGAAATAGCAGTCCACAATGAAAAGATCAGGGTAGGGAATCAAATCTTGTAGTTGTGCTACCTCCTAATCTTCATGTCACAGTGAAACAGCAATTTCTTTTTAACAGGAAGCAAACTAAAAGTTGAGAAAGTCTCTTATGGTGCTGTTTTCATACCATCTACATACAGTATGATATATAACTATTTACCTGGCCATATGATTTTTTTTTATTTGGTTTTGTTTCTGTTTTGGTTAGTAGTGCTCTGCATTTTTCTAGAATGACTCTTTGACTCTGCCCCAGTTTCCATCATATGGTTTTGGCTACACTTACTGTAGAAATTACCTGAAAGATTTCTTTGGCAACCTGCCTGTTGACCTGCTTCCAGCTTGTAAATTAGTGTGATAACGTTTGTATAGTTTCCTGCCTCTACTCTTTTTGTGCAGCCTACTGGAGGTCAACATTCACCAATATCTTGCAGTAATTAAACACCTCCAACTGAAAAATTTGAGGTGCTTGGAGGTGTTGATGAGCCATCAGACGAGCTGCAATTAATCAACGCTTCAAACCTACCTCAAACACAGCTTTTATAGGTTATTTCAAACTAAACTTAACACTTCCTCAAAGAGCCAAAGTATGTTGGCTCCTAAAACTTTCTCAGTAAAGTAACATCTGAAGGTATAAGGAGGAAGCTGCCTATTTTTTATTGTCAATTCACTTTATGTGCAGGACACATAGAAAATCGAAATACCATTTCTCTCTCACCTAGTATTGAATGCCATACCATTTAGGAAACTATAAGTAGAGTAAAGATAGATTAAGAAGAATAAGAAAACTAAATTAAAGCGATTAGGATAAAGCTAAACGGTACAACCTAACAGGCTATGACTCAAACCATGTACAATCAGTGGCAGTAGTGCAAATAGGAACAAGAAGATTGTCAGATGGTTGTGAGATTGAGATGCACATGAACAGTAGTGCAAATGACCGACAGCAGCAAATATGACGGTAAAAACAGTCAGCAGCAGATTTACATGTAATATAACAGGAAGGGGGAATGTACTGGGTTTGTGCAAAACAGCAGAGGTAGTCTTTCTATGTCTTTGTATGTTCTGTGGTGGGTTACGGTCCAGGCACCGATGATCTTGCTGGCTGTTTTCACTATGCGTTGCAGGGTCCTTCTGCAGGAGGCAGTACAGGCTCCGTACCACACAGTGATGCAACCAGTGATGACGCTCTCAATGGTGCCCCAGTAGAAGAAGCACATGATGGGGGGTAGGGACACTAACTCTCCTCAGTTTGCGGAGGAAGTAGAGGCGTGTTTGAGCTTTCTTGGCCAGTGATGTGGTGTTGTTGGTCCAGGAGGAGGTCCTCAGAGATGTGCACCCCCAGGAACTTGGTGCTGCTCACTCTCTCCACTACAGCACTGTCGATGGTCAGTGGTGGATGCTTTAGAGGTTTTCTCCTGAAGTCCACAATGATCTCTTTAGTCTTCCCCACATTGAGGAAGAGGTTGTTGTCCTTACACCACTGGACCAGTTGGCACACCTCACTACTGTAGTTGGCCTCATCATTGTTGGTAATGAGGCCAACTACAGTCATGTCACCTGACAATGTGGTTGGCACACAGTCATGGGTCAGCAGTGTGAAGAGCAATGGGCTGACCACACACCCCTGCGGAGCTCCTGTGCTCAGTGTTATTAATTTTGGCAGGATTTGAGGTCTTATCCTGAATTAATAACATGAATGAGGGAGTTCTGCAGGAAACTCTGTTCACAGGTTCATGGTATTCAATTACTGAGTGAATATCTCTGCCTAAAAACCTCAGGCAGTGTTTGAAGCATTGATAGGTTTCAAATATGCCACCTTAGTGTAAAAGGTTAAATTATCTTACTATGTCCAGAGGCTAGCAAATTGTGGCCTTCAAAAAAACATATAATCTGACTAGTACTCTACATATTGGTTTTTTGTGTTGCTTTCATGCAGTTTCATTCGTTAGAGCAGACTTTTAGCAGGGTGTTTCTTTTTTTCTTGACTATTCTTATGAAACTATGATAAGAGTAGTTAGTTGAAAAGACAGAAGAACAACTCACAATTTTGGTTCTCCTGCTTGCTCATCCTGCCACTCTTCTTCCTCCTTTGACTGAGAACACTCTGAGCCTCAGCCGTCTGCTGCAAGCGCAACATGAATCGCTCCACATCATCAAAGCAGTGGTTGAGAATCTCCTGATAAAGACACATATTGTGTTTTAACCACTTCTTTGAGCAACCTACTAAAATTACTTTAGTAATATTCATAATACTGATCATTTAATAAGCTATTAGTCAGCCAAACAGCATACAAGGAGTTAACACTAACATTAATGGTAAGGTATTTATGCAGTCAGTAGCCCTGAGATAACATTACATTTGTAATGTTTGTTTTGTTCAAGGTCTGACACAGTGCCAGTTTACAACCTTCTAAGGTGTTATTTGGTCGAATGGTGGAACACCACAGCCACATGAACATATTGTAAAATGAAATCTTCATCACAAAGTGCAGTCTCACCAAACAAGCTTCACCACATTTACTGCTGCTCTTCAGTCCTGCATTGCACTAGCAAACTGTAACTACTGGTCACACTGGTGTGGTTAGCTGATGATGTTGGATTCATGAGGTAGTCCCTGCCATGTCCACAGAGCTAAATAAAATCTCTTCTGTCATATCCTCCAGCTGTGTTAACTTTGTCTAACATGATTTAGTCATTATGATAAGAGCAAAACCATATAATCACCATGACCTATCTCCACAGCCTTTTTTAGCATAACGTATTCCATATACTAGCCATCATGGAGCAGTAGGAATGTTTTCTAGTGTTTCACTATAGTGTCTCTACCACTCAGTGGTGTTTCTAAAACAATATGTTACTTCTGTATAAAAAAAACCATTTTGTACTCTTTTTCTGAATGTCAGTTTACATTTATAATTTACCTTTACTTCTCTCATGCAGAGACAGTGGGCACTGCCTTGATTGTGTAAATACCATATGTGGTTTACTGACATAGACTTGATGGGACTACATACTCTTGTTAAGCTTTTTTTGCACAGGTTGCCATTTTCACCCACATATATAAATCATATATAAGATGGTTTTTGCAAGTACATACCACTTCTCTTTCTGCATTGAAGACAGATGTGTGATTTGACTCCCGACTGGTAGTATTCTCTGATCAGAGGAAGAACATAAAGAGGATGAAAATACATCTACAGTACATATGCATACATACACATTGGCCAGATGATTATACCTTTGCCAGAACCTCTGTTGATGGGCCGACCACCGGGAGGAGGCTGTTCTGCTGGAACAGTTCGGACCCGGCCACTTGGAGGCTTTTTAAGTACCAAAGGGGGTACAGACATCTGTTGTGTATGTATGAAATAAGAGAATCAAGCACACACTGTCATACAATAGGGACCGATGCTTAGATAATACAATAAAACTTTTTCTTGGTAAAATATTTGACTTTATATCACATTTTGTGTGATTTTTCTAACAACCGATGTCTTGTTTCTTGGGAATTGTTGCATTAGTCCTCTGTATTTATCAGTACATTATCTCATTAACACTTAATGTGAATCATACATTGCATTCAAGAGTTTTCCCCCTCACTGGAACATCTACATATGATATATAAATTTTTACCTGGATGATTAAGACACCATCTTGACTTAATTTGAATATTGTACTAACGATGAATGAGAGCTCTGTATCGCCACATTCCATAAGCTTGTTGAAGGAATGCTGACTATTCTGTGCGCACACTTGCATACCGTGTGTGTAATGACAAATACATATGACAGGAAAAGCCACCTTCACCAGATGCATGTTGTGCAGGTGACATAACTACCAAACCTAACTACACTAACTAAACACAGACGTTCGTACAAACACAAGGTAGTTCTTTTCCTCATCTTCCTTCTTTTCTTTTTCCTGTCATTTCTTCTTTTCCAGCAAGTTGCTACCACAAAAAAACCTTTCAGGTGTAAACAATTTCAAACAAATAAACACAATCAAAGCACTTAATGCAATTACAAATTAGGAATTTATTCTAACGCATCAAGATGAAGTTACTTCAAAAATATCCACATATTACTGACACAACGCAGCTGCACTCCATATGAAAAGTGTACCTGCCTCTCTCTCTGTCTCTGTTTGTGTGTCACAAACACAAAGTTTAAACAAAGTTAACATCTAGATACATCACTGTACCTTTTAGTGCAGTCTGAGTGTTTAAATCCAAGGCATAGAAACCAATCGTCGCGCCGAGTCGTATATATGCACTGAGCTAAGGTGTCGGCACGTCCCACCTTCTTGAGATATGCAGGAACAAGAAAAACAAGTCTGGCTTTTCTTTTGCACTTTATCTGTTTTGCCTTCACACTCCTAGGACTCTGACACACACATGCTCCCTCCCTCCCATTCTTCTCTCTGCATCTCTGCAAACCTCTCCTGCCTTATGACAGATGGCAACTGCCTTAGGCTTGTGTCAGGAGGCTAATGTCATTTACGACACATGCCATTCCAGAAATGCAATGCAGTCGTCCTCAAACTCCCCGCCTCCACAGATTCAGTGACCTCAAGTTTTGTTTCAACATACAACAAAGTCAGTGTCGAGATACTGTATGACACAGAGGTGAAAAAGAAGTTAAAATTAAAAAAGAAAGTGGCAAAAATAACAGATTAAAAGTCCATCTATTTTGTACTTTCAGACTAATTACATCAGCCCTGACCTGTGATGTATTTTCTTTTCAAGGCTGTACAACCACCTATAATAAAATAGATTCATGATAAATAGTTAATTTTCTTGCAGTTGTTTTTTTTCTATAAAATGTCTCATTGGCTAAGGGAAATCAGCTGTGCTGATGTTTCTAGTACCTCAGCAAATATTGACTAGACAACAACAGACATAAAGACATGTTTATTAGAATGATATGTGAGAAGGTGTGGGAAATGATGTGGTGACACATTTAATACTACAGTATATCTAGTTTGTCTAAGGTCCCAGCCAAACTTGAATTTTCTTTCAGCTGAAGAATGGATGCGACTTTACCATGAAGATGGTTTGAGGAAATGGTAATGTGGCTAACCAGATCAGTGCACAACAATCAATACAATCCTGACAAGCAGCGAAGGATCATTGGGTGGAATTCCAGGTTGAATCTATTCTCAGCAACCCTTTTGGCACAGGGCAAACTGAGAGAAGTCAGTCTACTGAACATTTGAGCCAGAATAATGTCTTCATTATAATTGTAACTACTTGCAGCCTTAAGTCTGTAGGTACAGTAATATACTCTTGGATTCTACTGTATAACAATTTGAAGTAAGTCAGTGGGGGAAACCGAGCTGTTGGTGAAGTGACACCAACTGGTCATTACAGGTAGAGCATCTGTGACCGGCATCTCTTCATGTTTGACTTTACTGTTTCACAGGTGTTCAAACTCAAAATGAAATAGTCAGTGGTGCAGGGAATAAAGGGGGGAAACTGTTCCAAAATGCACTATTAGCAGTCAGTATAGACTGGTGTCTTGTAATAATAATCCATGGGGAAAAGGCATGTAGGTCTGGATTTGGTTTGTAGTGCGTTTGTAGTGCTGACTATTTTTACATGTGCTTCTATTGCGGATTTCTTTTGATGTTTTAGAGCTTACCTTCATGATAAGAACACTAATGGTCTATAACAGTGGTCCCCAGCCTTTTTATCACCGG